ATGTGAACGTTTAGATCACCGGCACGTACCACAGTATTCGCACATTTTCTGTAATGTAAAAGATCGTTAAGTTGGTGATCGAAATCATCTTTTATCGAATCAGTGCTGCAGTTTGTGCAGGCGCAGGCCGCAATGACAAACAGACACCGTTTGTTCCTGCGCAACTTCGAAGCCTAGAACGAGCCAGCTATTCTAACGGCGTACCTCCAGCTGTTGACTGCGATCCAATCGGTCAAGGCAGCTTCATCCCAGGGTCTCAAAACAGTGCCGACGCCAGCTTGACAGACAGATGCAATGAGAATGTGCCGCCATTGTCGCATGTGAGGGATCGCAGGGTAAGCACGGAGCTCAAATCTTGCAGGCGAGTTTCCGATCAGTATCAATATCGATCAGTAGGGTCCCTAGTGTTCGGGCAAGTACTGCCTGTTGGCCAATCTGTAGCAAAGTGCGCCCCTTGAGGCATGCCAGTTTTAACGACGGTCGAAGACTCCAAAGGGAAGCGGATAAACTGACGTTGTCCGCTGGCTTGAACATGGACTTGTTGGCTGGACTGGAGCTACGCCCTGCGATTGTGTGTGAGTTGCCACTAGAAGCAAAGCGACTATTCAAGCAAGATAGGGGATGGCCAAGATTTGGGGGTTTGAAACAGGGTGATAAAAGTGAATCTGCAGCGGGACGCTAATGATGAAAATGCACAAGAGTGAGGATAAGAATACTGGAAGGTCTGAACAGTAGCATCCAAACCCCTATCCACTTTGCTTGATGCCGCAGATAGCGCGCTGTTGATTATCCTCTGCGACGGCCAGAGCACCAAGAAATCGTGTGAAGGAAAGTTCATAGAATTGTATTATGCAGGCAGGATACTGCCAGGCTGTGCAGACCTTGTTAGGAGAATGGTTATGATTCACAATCAAAGCCTTTGGTTCAAAAACCTTACCGCAAGGCAGCGGGGTTTTGTCACTGGGCTACAAATAGTCGGTTTTATAGGTATAAAGCCACCTTTACTCCAACTTTCAACCTGGAGTGCCAGAAGACTGAGTTCGCCTGGCCTATACCTATCAACAATTTTGGTATGAGTAGCTCTGATGGTGCACAAACTATCCCCTTGCATAGCTCAGTGGATCACTGAGGCAGACAAACCATCGCCACCATGTTGAGGTCCAGTGTCTTTGTGATTGACGGTTCTAAACTTCAAATAGATTTCTTCCGCCAACTGGATTGTCTATTTTATGATCTGGTACCCTTATCTTCAGTCTCTTCCACTAATCCCACATGTTTGGTTTTAACATTTTCATTATTGAATCTCTACATACTAACATGCTAACATATATTTGGCTTTTCAAGGTCGAAGCAGCTGGGTTTCGCCAATATCGCAGTTGCGTCGATCGCACCCTTACAATCCGCCAGATACTTGAACACCGTCAGATGTCCCGTCGAGCAACCATAGGTGTATTCGTTATCCTTCGAACTGCGTTTGACTTTTGACAGAGTGGTGCTTTGGGAATGCGTACTAATGAAGTGTATATCTGAGAAGGAGATCAGCATTCTCCGTACCATTTACCGTCAAACTTCGGGCCGCGTGCGAGTATACGGAAACTTTTCGCCCCCCTTCACTATCATTAATAGTGTTAGTGTTAACCAGCCTCTCTCTTCATGTTCAACTTCGCCATGAGCGCGATTCTTGAAACTGCTCTGGAAAAATTTGAGTCCCCTGGCTTCGAACTGCTCCCTGGTGACCTACTTCGAGACTTGTAGTATGCACACGACATCGCTGTAATTTGTGTATCCTTCCATTTCGCCCAGTATGTGCTGCTTGGACTAGAGATGTCCACCTCCCAATTTGGGTTGACCTTTGCCCCTTCCAAATGTAAGGTCCTGTTACAGGACTGCCCAAATACATTTTCTCTCAATCTTTCGGGTTATTCACCTTAAGCTGTCGACAAATTAACTTAATTTGCTCATTTCAGTATTGGCGTTTTGACAGGTGCGCCCTGCTTGCATTTCTCGCAGTCTAGAGTAGCTTTTGCTAACCTCCATCATCTATGACGTCGTCGTGACCTCAGCCTCACTCTCGATGGATTAGTTTACAATGCTGCGGTCCCAGTAGTTCTGCTGTATATCTACGAGTCTTGGCTGGTTTGCAAAAGTGATGTTTAATGGCTATCTGTCTTCGGTCACAGCTGCCTGCGAAGCATTGCTGATTTTCGATAACAGCATCACATCAGTGCTGAGGTCCGTCGGCGAGTGTTCAAATCCGACAAACTCCGCCGATTGATTGCCATCATCTTTCCACTGCGGCGACTACGCTGGCTTGAGCATGTGCTTCGCTTGCCTGCCCAGCGGCTATCACGACGTGTTTTATTTACGAGCGCAGATATGGGAGGGAAGCGATGACAAGGAGGCCAATGTGCAACTTGGAACCAATACGTTAAGACGCAAACGTCGAATCTGGCAGTTATTGGGCATTCCCTACTCCCGGGATGGGGACCGAAGGATCACGAGCACACCTGCTTGAAAATGCTACTAGACTTGTCCAATGACCGTGCGCAATGGCTCATATGCTGTGAGACTTTTCTTCTCTAACTGTACTTTTCCCTTCTAATCTACCGTTTTTCTCCTGTGTATTGCAGCACAGCCGATTGTACTGTACTTGGCAATATATATATATATATATATATATATATATATATATATATATATATTGCATTCATGATGCTTCTTTACCGCTGTTGGGCTAAACCAACTTACCCTTAAGCTAGGTCTTTTTAAGCTGGATAAATTTCCTTCCACTTTATTTGGTTTGTTCTGTATACCTGAATAATCTTCTATTAACTGGCCACGTTGCTTACGCTAACTTTGGTTATCTTCGTTAACTTTTTGCGTTTGTATCATTTTTTGAGTAACTTCTGGATATTTTGTACTCATCGCGAGTACGTTGCTAACCAACTACACTTCATGTACTAATTAAGGGAAGAGTTATCTCTGCATAGCCGTATTCTTTGACATATATGTTTTATTAGATAATGTTATTTCAAGTGATTGGCTGTTGTTTGACATCCACGGTGTGGCTGCGCTTTATGTGCATGTTGACAAGGCGCCTACCTGTCTATTACCCATCAATTCGTCCATACTGGTTCCAGGAGACACTTGGTCCTTACTGGAGGGGACAGGGTGCACGGTCGTTGTGGTCGTGCTAGGCTCAGAGTGGTTCCATGCATTCAATGTGGGACGGAATACGGTCCGGCCACCGCCTTGTGTGCGCTTTGTTCCCAAATACAGCGTGCTTGTGTTTGCCCGTGAAGGGGGTGGGCTGGCTCCGTAGATGGAACGTGGCTTCCATCCACATGCCTCGCGGGCTTATTCCTTCGGGTTTACATTGGATATGGGGTGTGTGGTTGGAGCTGTGAGTGGCGCAGCGCAAGCCATCCGTGATCACTCTGTAGACGCAGGCGTCGTGTGGCTGGCCACAGTGACAGGCAAATCGGAAACCGCATGCCACCAACCATAAATGTGGTGCAGCGCAAGCCACACGTTGTTCCTCTGTAGGTGCAGACGTCCTGTGGCTGGCCACAGTGACATGCAAATTTGAAACCGCATGCTGCCAACAATGTATTTATGTGTTCCCATGCTGAGGCTGCTGTTGCATTCATGATGCTTCCTCACCGCTGTTGAGCTAAATCAACTTACACTTAAACTAGGTTTTTTGAAGCTATATAATGTCATCCCAGTTTTATAGGTTTGTTCTGCTTACCTGAATAATCTGCTTTAACTTGAGCAAGTTGCTTACGCTAATTGCGCTTATCTTCCTAAACTTTATCGCGTTTGTAGCATTCATCGAGTAACTTGTAGACATTTTTCACTTACCGCGGATTCCTTGCTAACCAGCTTACTTCATATGCCAATTTAGCGAAAAGTTGTCACCTTATTTCTCTGCATTATTCCATTTATTTCAATTGATCTTGTCGTTTCAAGTGATTGGCTGTTGCTTGATATCCCCGGTATGGCTGCGCTTGATGTACATGTTGACAAGGTGCCTACCTGTCTATTACCCACAACGTCGTTCATACTGGCTCCAAGTTACAGTTGGTCGTTTGTAGAGGGCACGGGATGCATGGCCCTTGTGACCGTGCTAGGCTCAAAGAGTGGTTCCATGCACTCAGTGTGGAGCGGACTACGGTCCAGCCATCGCTTTGGATGCGCTAGATTCCCAAATACAGCTTGCTTCTATTTGCTTGTACAGGAATGTTGGCCGGGTTCGCTGATGAAACCTGTCTCCCATCCACATACCTCCCGGTCTTATTCCTTCGGGTTTACACTTGATATAGGGTGTGTGAATGGAGCTGTGAGTGGTGCAGCGCAAGCCATCCGTGGTCACTCTGTAGACGCAGACGTCCTGTGGCTTGCCACAGTGACAGGCAAATTCGAAACCGGATGCCGCCAACCATATATATATATATATATATATATATATATATATATATATATATGTTAGACGATGCATCCTCCATATGAACTGACATTTTACTGGAGTGGGTTGCCTGCACCTACAGGTAGAACGCGTGCATGGCGTGCAGGAATGCGGCCCACAGAGCTGCAAAAGGAGACGATGGTGTTCTCAATTGGCTGCCAGAACGGTCGGAGACACGAGGAAGGCAGCTAATGAGACACGATATGTACTGGACCTGCTGTTGATCGCACCAGCAATGATCTCAACTCTACGTAACTGCTCCTATTGTACTTTCTTCTTAGTATCGTTCCATAGGTAACTCAGTCTTCTTTATGCACTTTGCGTCACGGGTTCACGTCATCTCTCCTTTGTTGCTAGCTGATAACTCCTCACACTGTTATTTGCCATTACAAATTAACTGATTAATTATGTCATTATTTCACGTTACGAGTCCGCAACATGTGTGCATCCTCATTTAAGCTTATTTGCTATTCTCCACTTTTCTCCTTGTGTGACTCCTCCGTACTTGCTCACTTTCTCCCTTTCAATCCAGAACAACGCGCGCATACCTGCGAGCGCTGTGGTAAATCATATCCCAGCAAGAACGCTTTGCAGGACCACGTCCGTTTTGTACATCTAGGTGAGCGCCTGCTTGAAGACATCATTTATCTTTGATTTCACCGCATGTGTGACGCCATATTCGATGGTTTCCTTTGGTTTCAGACCAATCAGCATTGCCCATTTTCTCAGGAAAACTTCATGCTGTTGTGCAAAAGTTCCTACTTCTCATACTAGCTAGTTTAAGGTGGAGTAAAGTGGTGTCTTACATTATTTTACTTTCCTGTACTAGCGGCTCTAGGAACGGTCTAGTATGCGGGGCCAATTTAATTTGTTCAGTTCTACGCAATCGCTTTTCTCATCTTTTGTTCAGCTAAAGATCAGTCTGACGCCTTATTCCAGCCAGACAACTGAGGTCTCTGCACTTTCGGCCTCCTACGAGTTGGTCGTCGTTTTGGTGCAGTAATTGGAGTCTAGTCAGAGAATAGAAACTTCGCTTCGTCATCTGGAGTCACTGGTAGTGTTATCGCCGGATCGAATGGACGTTGGAGCACTCTCTGTTCACAGTTTGTTGGTTAGACTGCTCTGCATCCTCACGTTGCGAGTTTATCCGGCATAGGTAAAACAGGAAAAGCTGAAACTGCTTTTACCTCCAGGAAGACTCAACTGCTTTCACGGACAACGCATAGGGTGACTTCTGTGCATCCTTTGTGCACTTACCGAATCTGTCGGATTCGACTTCTTTTGATGCCGTTGCTTCACACCTGGCTTTGACTTTAAGACTATTTCTGTAACCTAAACGCATGGTTATTTATTATGTCATATAACATTGTGTTTGTCTATTTCTCTATAATTGCTGCATGTGACTGATAAGCATGCAAGAACTAGTGTCGTGATCTTACAAACTACGTTTTCTGCTTCTTTTGTTCGGAAATATTAAGGGAACTACTTGTTTCATTCCGATTGGTTCGATTTTATCTAGTCGTGTTCGCGCCTGCGGTGAGCTCAACAATTCTCATGATACTTGGCCTGCGGTGTAGTGCCGTGTATTGCGCTGTTGGAAGTTTGTAACATATCGAACATTGTTTAGACAACCCTTTTTCTTGATGCGTTCGCTCTGATACTCATATCTCTTGGTGATAGGTGTTACCAACTCAGCGTGATTGTTTCCGTTTTGTGACGCTCTTTGTCCCGATTTTCAACCAGAAAGTTATGGACCGTTAACCCGGATCATCACATTTGATGCATCCTGCTTGGTTTAGGATATTTCTGGTGACCTTCGTTGTACTTGTTGCCGTGTAGTTCGCCTAGGTTTGACTCACTTTGTGTACTCAAATTAATCGTACCACGACGGCAAATTCTTTCTTAGATTTTCCTATGATGTTTGCTTCCAGCGCTGACACCCCACTACCGGTTCCTTCCTGCTTTAGAGTCGCTACCTTGAGCTAACCTGAATTTGATATGGAACTCGTGCTGTAATATTGGACGGCTGCACTTTGTTCATTAGGTCGCTGTGATCCGTACCGTGTTTTGGAATTCATAGTTGGATTTTGTAGTGTGCCTCATGTGTTTCAGTTGGTGCACCTCATCTCTATTTGCACCTCTATCCACTTTAAAGATGACCTCAGCTATTCTGATCGGTTTCTTCCTTGTTCGAACTCATCAGGTGGAGGTAGCCGGTGCAAAGCCACTTGTACAATCTTCTCCCAGTGGTCTCATGGTTAGCTTGCAAGCCATTTGTATTTTAATTGTCATGCTGTAGAGGTGTTGGTAGCTGCAGGCGACTTCAGATATGTGCTCGCTAAAGTTGCGTCACTACTTTCGCCTCGACTCTGTTCTGATTACGTCACAATTTTGTCGGAAACTGTAATTGGATTAGGAGCTCAGTTGACGTCCGTTTTCAATAACATTGCACTGGTTCAGTAAGATGTACTGCGCCTAGAAGTCAAAGTGAACCAGAGTTGTTTGGGGAACTACTCACTCCTCGTTTCGATTGCTTGGTTGATAGAACCAATTTAGAAATCATGACCTCAGAGGCTTGGAAACAATTACTTGGTGTATTTGTTGGGCAACGTTTCGCTTTTGACACCCACACTTCATCCGTCCAGCTGAATCAAAATGCAATTTGAGTTGTAAATTCCAGCGCACAGGGACAATAATCGCGATAGCTGGGACATGAGCAGAAACGTTATTTCAGTCGCAGTTCGGGATGTCATCTCAAGTTGTTCAGTCCCGGTATTAGTAGTCCACCAGCTCCGTTGTGTAGATAGACCCATAGTCGTGATAATATAAGGTCGAGTTGCGCTTCCCGACCTGATCTGCGCATCGTCATTCGTCAGACTTTCCGGATTTACATCGCTTGCCACGCACTTGGGAGTCTTATTCGGTCCACTCCATTCCCACTGCTCTCCGATTTTGTCCTTTCCAACGCCTCCGCAATCAACGTTTGAGGCGTTGTTTGTATGCCCTCTTAATGATCTCCACTTTATGCAATTCCAATGCATGCACATCCACAACCGAGTCTCTTAATAGTGCCAGATATTCAAAATCATTCGTCGCTGACGACTGTTCCTTCAACCCAAACTTTCTTTTCACATTGGTTCTTTTAATCGCCGCACTTGTCAGATTGGCCAACAGGCAGCACTGACTTTCAGTCTTCACTCTCTTAGTATTGATATGTAGTGTTTCCGAAACACGCTTACGAGATAACAGCATCGTGACATATCTTCGACTGCCTAATACTGAGTCAGTGACTCAAGTTATCTACGGTGTGCGTATCGCCCTCCGCAAACTTGTTGTAGGTAATTTGCTCGACTGCACGCCAGTGTATTGCAACGTGTGTGCGGTTCGACTTCGAATCTCTGCTGGACTTAATAAGCAGTGTCTGAAGACAAGGTGCATTTTCATCGTCCCAGTTGATGACGTTACAGAACACAGTTCAGAAGGTATCAAAGACGATTTCTATCGACAGTTCTCCTCTTTTCTTCGCGTGGCTTCCTTCGGTCACTTAGTGTGGTGGCTTCATTTGGACAACATTTAGCTATCCTAATCGCCTCCGCTTTCGGTATATTGGTAAAAGTGAAACCACATCAAAGCTTACCATCAACTCATCTGGTTCGGTTGTGAGACTTGCTATCTTTCGGATGGATACGTAAGAGATCTTCACGAATGTACTCGTTAGTCCTGTTAAAGGTTGGAGTGACCTTACCAAATATCCAGCGAGTTCATCGGTTCGGAGGTTTATGCCATCGACGGCCGATAACCGCAAGCTCAGGCGGAGTCTGCGCGTTTCCAGTGTTCACAGTTATGTTTTTACTGGGAGTTTGAGTTGTACTCTCGGCAACTTGGGTGGCCGTAGTTCAGCGGTGTCCACTCCGATCTCAAACTGCATCGTCTCTGCCGAACTCGACAATCTGAACTGCTTTCCTGAAGCAGCTCTTGTGTCAAGATTGAGATGTAACCGTGACTTGTGCAACACCGTTTTGTGTTTTAAATCCTCATGAAATCAGAAATTTGCTCGGTTTACTCAATCCTGTTTATATTTGTTAGGTAATCCTATCTAATTAATATATTATTTATTGTTGTTTCGCCCGTATCATTATATTTAGCTGTCACCTGCGCCCACCATGTTCCAGTTCCCATCGTGACTCCCTGAATCATCTGTGATCACTGCTGACTCCAGTTTACAGTCTGATCATGAGGTCGCTCTTTATCTACATACTGTATGTGCTACACTCGGCGGACAGCGACATTGTTGTCTATCTATATGAGTATTCCTGGAATTCGCTGGGCATTTAGTTTTAGAGGTAGACAAACGTACACTTGGGTATCCAACAGCGGAGCCTAGTTGATTTTCAGTCAGTGCTTTCATGTAATGCATAGGTTAATGCAAGAGAGCCAGAGATCTTCAGACAGACTTTCGTCCTACCAGTAACCAGCCAGCTTTGAAATGCCATGAAATTTGTCCATCCTGAATGTTGTACATGACTGTGAAAGTCCTGTCGTTTTCGTTTCAGAGCTGCGAGATCACATATGCGAACACTGTGGAAAATCTTTTTCTCTAAACTGCAACCTTCGGACACACGTAGACGTTGTTCACCTGAGTAAGTTCTACACCCACCTTCTGTCATTCCTTCCAATAACGCACCGGGAGTCTTCGAACTTTGATCCAATGTTGCCTGTACTTAACACATACTTTTAGCTCGGTGTTTATCTTATGAGTTTGTCGGGAGCACTTCGCTTCTGTTCTGGCCTTCCTTACTTCTTTTACTCTTGTTAACATAGCTTTCTTTACTATTGTAGGGAAACAGCCCCACCGATCCGAGCGTTGTGACAGATGCTTCTCTCATAGGAAAGTATTAAGAACACACATTGAAGCGGTGCCTTTAATTGAGTATTTGTTTCAGATGTTTTGCATTATTCTCAGTGTGCCCATAGTTATTCTGATGAGCTTCATCAACTTGTTACTGTCTGACGCTCGATTTCACATGATGCTACGCGTTGTATGTGAAGTAGTTTATGGTCATGTTTGCGTCCACATTGGCTTCCGGTCCTCCTCGAGTTAGCGACTTCAGATCACTAACCTGATCACTGAGTGAGCGTGTCAGAGCGCTTCACACTGACGATGACACCCTGCTTGATCCTCAGGCGTTTGAAACCTGATCGCCAGCTCGGTGTGTTCAGCCCACTCTAGCTGACAGTGTTTTGAATAATGTGGATCTTCAACCTCGCTCGATGTGGAATTTCCTGCGCAATATTGGTTCCATGGTCCGCTGGTTTTCATGTTTTGGGCACACTCGACCGCCTGGCTTGTCATCCCAGACCAGAACAAGTGCTGTCTTTCACTGTTGGTGCCATACTTAACGTCCATGTGAGCTTGTTTGGCGTATTTCATCATATCTCTTCCGAGCGGTAGCGTGATGAGAATACGACTGCATTTGTAAAGCAAGCCATCGTGGCACTTAAGTTCATACTGCAATTGGAGTGGTATTTGGATTCTTTGCAAGCTGCTGTTCAATCCATGACCACTCCTTCAGAATCGCTTCTCACAACGCTGTCAACAATGCATCTTCTTCTTTGTGGCGTCTGTTATCCTTCAGATGACTTTTCGTCGTTGCCGGATGTCGTACCCGGTTAGCAGTTTGACCTACTCCGGATAGTCCCAGGCTGTCATCAGATTAGCTCTTGACATGCTGACTCAAAACTTTGACCATTTTATGTGGCTGATTCCTCTTTTATCTACAGGCGTTGGTCTCTCGTATATTGCTTTAATTTCCCTTATTGGGCTGAAATCGACTACCATCACATCAGCATGTAGGTCCTCATCGCCTTTCCCAAGCTCAGTTTCCTGTCGTTCCAAGGATATGCTCTCGTGACCGTAACGCTACACAAGGCGATGGAGGTTGTTTCCATGATTAGCATGGTTCAGCTCGGTTCAGTTTAACAACTATGATCCTATCGCCGAAGTGCGGTGGATCTAGTTGCTCCGATTCACACCGTAAGAATGGCACTAAATAAATCCCGAGTAGGGGACCGAGGGAGTGCACACCACTGACGAGCCCCAATGGGGCGAATTGCGTCTGGTGCTTTTCCGGACTATGCTGTGCTATGTAGCTTGTGAAATACTGGGATGAAAACCCCCAACAAACTAAGGAACAACGTTAGGACAGTTGGTTTGGTTGCGTGCTGTCACAGTAACAACCTACCCGAAGATTATCTTAGCGTACGTGAAGCGCTTATCTGGCGATTCGACAGCATCAGCCTCTGGTTGCGTTTAGCACGCGTGCTGAGGCAGCACTCATTGACTGGTTCCCGGTCAACTGCCGTCTTTGTGCGGTTCGCTTGGTACGCTCAGTGCGATAATTCAACCACTGGACCAGTAGGCGCTGCTTATTCATTGTGGCGGCGTGCGCTTCAAGGGACTGCAGCCTGCATGAAGCTAAAGACGAGTTTTACTGCCAATTTACCGACCTCATCCGTAAGAAACGCCACACGGACATTGTGGTATTCGCTGGAGACATAAATGGGCAGGTCGGCGGACCAGAGGTTTATGGGCGTGAACTTTGTGGGTCAACACAGCCACGGTACTCGCAGAATGGGCAACGGCAATCGACTCCTCTAACTGTACGTTCACCACAGTTTGTTTCTTACGAGCATCAAATTCCGGCGTTCATGTCGCCAACACGCCACTCGGCGACCTCCGGTGCGTGGTCAAGCTTGTGCGTAAATTGACCACATAGCTGTTAGTTACCGTTGGCGACGCCGCACAACGGACTGCAAGTCAATTTGGAACACTTACTTGACTTCGGATCATGCGCTTCGGAGGCACCCAACAGCGTCGCCGGAAAAGGTTGGACACAGACAATCTCGCCACGCCAAATGTTATCGTCACGTTTCAATACATATTGTCCTCCAACCTGCGTTCTCTATCCTCCGATGTTGAGACACACTGGGCACAGATCCAGAGCGCCTTACGAAAGTCCGCTACTCTGGTCTATGGCTTCACTAGACGAGCCGGTAGTCATTGAATCTCCGCACAGTCTCTCCAATTAATGGAAAGCGGTCGAGCAATTCCCGCCGGAGTTGAGTGCAGCGCACTACGCAGAACCACATGTGTCGAGCTCAGACAGCTTTTCAGTATGGATCGTGAGGTTTGGTAGGCAGAACGCATAGTTCAGATAGAACGGGCAGCCTCATCATTAAAGTCCCGCAGACTCTTCCACCTTATTCGTTTCGCAAGAGACAGAAGGCCAACAGTGAGTGAGGTTTTGCGTGAAAATGACGGTGAACTAATTCACAGTCGCCACAGTCGTCTGGTACGATGAGTAGAGCACTTTGAAGATCAGTTCAACTGGCCACCAGTACAATCGAGTCCACCATCCGAGGTTTACAGTGCTCCTTGGTGCTTGGATGTTTCTTCACCGACTGAGGCTGAGGTTTCCTATGAGCTTCGCCTATCAAAGCGCCACAACTGACCTGGCCCAGTTGAATTTCCTCCTGCCCTTCAAATATTGGGATCCTGCTCTCACTCGTGTACTGACATCTGTGTTTCATCGGAGTTGGACTACTGAAACCATCCCATCCGATTGGATTGTAGCGGATGTTGTACCTGCTTACAAACATGGAGACCGGGCCATTTTCTCCAACCATCGTGGCATCAGTCTCATTTGTATCGCATCCAAACTGCTCCCATCCCCATTTCTGAGGAGACTTAGTTGCGTACACGAATAGCACCTGCGTGAACAACAGGCTGGATTGCTCCCGGGTCGCAGTTACGTTGAGTACATCTTTACAACTTGCCAGATGCTTGAACATCGCCAAACGTTCAGTCGACTGGCCATAGTCATATTCTTGGTCGTTTGAGCTGCGTTTGATTCTATTGCCATAGTGGCTTTTTCGGACTGCTTACTGAAGAGTTTCGTACCTGCGAAGTACATCAGCATTCTCTGGGCCATTTACCCTTAAACTTCGGACCGCATACGAGTATCTGGATACATTTCACCCCCTTTCAGTATCACTAGCAGTGTTAAACAGGGTTGCCTAGCTTTTCCATTCTTGTTCAACTTCGCCATGGACGAGATCCTACATACTGTCCTGGGAAACTCATTCCATCGCTGTGATTTGCGAGTCCTCCCAAGTCGTCCAGCATGTGCTGCTTAGACTGGAGATGTCCGCCTCCCCATTTGAGTTGAGCAAATGTTAGGTTCTGTTACAGTACTGGCCCAGTGCATATGCTTCTCTCATTCTTTCGGGGCATCCGCTGGAAGTGGTCGACAATTTTTAATTACCTTTGTAGTTGTCTTAGTATATCCGTTTTTACGGATGAGATCTCTCTGTGTGTCTCCAAGGCTCGAGTAACTTTCGCTTACCTTGGTCGCCTGTGACTTCGTCGTGACCTCAGCCTCGCTTTCTAAGGACGAATTTACAATGCTACGGTACGAGCGATTCTGCTGTACGACTGTGAGACTTGGCCCGTTCGCAAAAGCGATGTTCAACGGCTATCTGTCTTCCATCTCCGTTTACTTCGAAGCATTGCTATGTTCGATGAAAGCATCACATCAGTAATAAGGAGGTCTGTCTGCGAGTGTTCAGAACTAACGTACTCCGCCAATGGTTTGGTGTCATCGTTACACTGCGGAGTTTTCGCTGGCTTTTGCAATTGCTCTGCATGCCTAAACAGTGGCTACGACGACGTGCCATGTTTGCGAGCGCAGGTGTGGGGTGTAAACGGCGACACGGTCATTGTAAAACTTGGATCCAATGCGTTAAGTTGCAAACGTTGAAGCTGGCTGTTGTTAGGCGTTCCCGACTTCCGGGTTGGGGACCAAAGGACCCCGAGCACATCTTGTTGCAAACACAACAGGATGTAGCCAAGGACCGTATGCATTATCACCCTTGCTGTATGACTCGTTTACGCTAACAGTGTCTTGCTTTTCCATCTGTATTTTTCCCTTGTAGGTTGTGGCACTCAACCAGTTGTAATGTAATTGGTAAAGTGTTTATATATATATATATATATATATATATATATATATATATACATTTGATTTGCGAACATCCTTGGTCCAGTTTAGCTATACTGCGTCGTGTTTCCGTTCCCCCTGAGATTTACCCCTGCCAAGTTAATCAGTCGTGAGAGGTCAGACAAACTCATTCTTTTAATCCTCCAGGTTAGGTGTTTGAAATGGGTTGACGTCCATTTTTGTGAAACTAAATCATTCCCATTTTCACGCTTCCTTGCGAAGAGGCTTTTGAACCAAAGGCTTTGGATGAGGACCCTAATCGTCCTCCTGTCTAGGTGCTTGCGCCCTGGCACTATCTCATCCCACATGCAACCTTGTCTTTTTCTTCAAACATAAACTTCCATCGGCCGTGGCGCAGGTTATCAAGGGTTGTCTTATTTGCTGCATACAGCAGGGCGGATAAGCGAAAACATGCTACTGCTGGCGCCTCCCTTCTTTCTTTTCTACCTGTTTCTTATACTCCCATCCCGACCCTAATTGTTAACCTTCTTTCTATAATTCCCAGCTTAATTGACAGCAGCCGAGGTGCCACTAGTGTAGGACCTTTCTGCAGTCACCTTCTCGTGATGCGTACCGGACGCCTATCGGCAACAGTTCGTTATAACTGCACTCGGCTTATCCTCTCGTTATTGGTTGCACGCATCCGGAGATGCCGTTGCAGCACTCACGGGTCAAGCTGGTGTAACTATCAGTCTAAGCTCCAAGGCTGAGGCATTGTTGGTTCATTGGAATCCGGTGAACAACGGTTTATATGCAGTCCGTTGGACGACATCAGCTAAGGTGGAGGATTCACGAAGTAGTACAACACCCTCTTTGTTTGTGATTTCCGCTTATGCTCTCACCGACCGCAGTTCTGCTGCTGTCAAGGACACATTCTTTGACGAACTGAACGCGCTATTACGCAGTGCTACTAGTTCAGATATAATAGTACTTGCATGGGATATGAACGCACCATTTAGGCGTCTAAGCTTTTCATAGTCTCAACTGGGTGGTAAGTACGTGCTTGCTCCAAACAGACTGAGAATGGCGAGCGTCTGCTGCAACTGTGTTTGGAGCACCAGTTGTTTCTTAGTAGCACTGCTTTTAGACACAGTGAGCGCCGAAGTGCCACTTGGCGTCCTCCTGTATCTGGCCAGCGATGGACCCAAATTGACCACATAGCTATAAGTTACATATGGCGTGGTTCCATCCTAGATTGCCGCTCGTACTGAAGTGCCTGTGTCGACTCTGATCATGGTACGCTGTCGTTTCTCCATGAACTTTACCGGAAGGCGCACCAAACGTCTCCTCCAATTGTCAACTGAGAAATTGTTTCAGCCCTCGGTCAGGCGAGCCTATCGAGACGAACTGCGTATCGAACTTTTGCTGTCTTGTCCTGATGGCACTGATTTTCATTTGAATAGGATCTCAGCCGCCATGCAGGGCACAGGAGCATCTGCAAGTGGCCCTAACAATGGTCACCGCACCAGTCACTGGATATCCGAGAGGTCGGCGAACCTGTTCGTATCTAGGAGAAACCTCCCGCCCGGTCCCTGAGCACAATGTGACCAGACCTACTATTAGGGGGCGAACTACAACGGAGCGTAGGTGCTGAAAAGGAGCCTGGTGGACCAGTCGGCCTCAAGAAATGTAGACATGACCAGTATGCAATTACTGCAAGCTCTTTCGGCTGATCCGCTCAACCGGTCCCAGGAAAGCAAACGTTAGTGAGACAATCAGCGACAGCGCGGGTGCAGTGATACACAAAATGGAGCGCCGTGTGGCTCGTTGAGCGGAACACATTCAACTCAAGTTCAGTTGGCCCCTGCTTCAGAGCCTCTTCCTACTCAGGTGATGCAGGACGACCCATAGATGGTTAGTTTAGTGGTTCTAAGGGAAACCCAAGCACCTTCGTAGTACTATTGTTTATGAGGTTTAATATGTCTCTGTCCAGTTTGTGCCTACTCATCTATTACACCGTAGCTCGTCCATACTGGCTCCAGGAGACAGTTGGTCGTTGCTGGGGGTTGACGGGGTACACGTTCCCTGTGACTTTGCTAAACTCGTAGAATGGTTCCATGCACTCAGTGTGGAACGAACTACGGTCCAGCCACCGCTTTGTGTGCGATTGATTCCCAAATACGGCGTGCTTGTGTTTACCTGTGAAGGAGTGTGGGCCGGCTCCATTGATGAAACCTTGCTTCCATACACATACATCCCGGTCTTATTCCTTCGGGCTTGCACTATATATGGGGTGTGAATGGTGCGGGGCATGCCAACCATGGTCACTCTGTAGGCGCAGGCGTCCTGTGGCTGCCCCTGCGGTGACCACACTGACAGGCAAATCGGGATACGGATGGTGCCACTCCATGTGCAGCGCCCGAGGCCGACAAGTAACCTACCGGTGATGGAGCACGAGAACGGATAGCCCCTCACCTCCAGCAGTGAGCGTGCGTGCGCCTTCGCGGCGCACTTTCCTTCTGTGTTTGGAACTAACCAGTTGTCTGTTCCGTGTTCGGCTTGCATCACCCTTACGAACTCTACAGTCTGGATTGTGATGTGGAAGAGGTGCATCAGGTACTCACAATCTTGACGGCACCGAACTTGCTGGGCGTGACGGGCTCCATCGCCTGGTTCTCGAATTCTTATCGGCCATTATCTCGCCTGCCGTAACTGAGGTATTCATCTAGTCTATGTCCGAAGGTATATTGCCGATTGTTTGAAACTTCTCGTTGGTAAGGCCGATTCTGAAAAGCGGTGATTCAAGCAAAGTGGGCAACTACAAGCCAATTTGTTTGACACCTATTCTGGCCACTGTTGCAGAGAACGTTGTGAAGAAGCTCTTCTGGTTAAAAGATCTCATGAGGCCCGCACAGCACGGTTTCACGCCAGGTTATTCATGCATTACCAATCTGTTCGTGACAAGATTGGATGCAGGCACTGAACCAGGCGAAGTCTATCGATGTGATCTACATTGATTTCAGAAAGCGTTCGGCAAGCTGAATCATGAGGTCCTCCTATCTAGTCAGTTTTATCTATGTAACGGTTTGATGATATTCGTTGTAAAGAATTTTTCGCTGTATTGAAAATGACGAATCTGTTATCAAGGCCGGTATCGACGTGGTACCCACACAATAGTGTCTTTGGAGTAGCGCGACCTCTTCTTTAGACACCAGTGTAGATTCAGTAGAACGACAGTTCAACAAAGGAGTATGTATACCACACTTTTATGCTCCGCTTCTCCATCACATTGGAGGATACGAAGACGTTACTGCCAACTTATGGCCACCGAAAACTGTGGAACGATGAGGGTATGCTGCGTCTGCGTGAAGTGACATTTGGGAGAGTGTTTCCAGCAGCTACAGGTAGAACATATGCAGATTATCCAGGAGGTCGAGCTGAGGGAATGTAAGAGCAGAAGGATGTATTCACAACGGAGAACCGGAATGGTCGGAGTGACGAACGAGACAGCTAGTTGGTCTCGATGCGAGCGGGACCTGCTGTTGGTCGCACCAGCAATGAGCCCCCTCTACGCATCTGTACCGATCTTACTTCTACTTGGTATCGTTCCATGGGAACTCACTCTTCTTTTTATACGCTCTACGTCATGAGTTCGAAGCATCAAGTCTCTCTAAGTAAGGAACACGGTCCTTATTCCACGTGACGACAACACGAAATCCTTGTTCATCGTTACGGTGTACATCATTACAACAGCTTGTTTACTATTCTGCACCTTTCTCTCTGTGTGACTCATCTATGCTTGCTTGCTTTCTCCCTTTCAATCCAGAAAAACGCAAGTATACCTGCGAGCGCTGTGATAAATCGTTTTCTTTGAATAGGGATTTACAGAGGCACCTCATTTCTATTCATTTGGGTAAGCGTTTACCTGAAGGCACCATTTATATTTTGATTTCGCCACTTGTGTTGCGCCATATTCAATGGTTGGATTAGGTTTCATCCGAATCAGCATTGTTTTTTTTAATCGTGAAACTAGATGTTACTCTGCGAAAGTTCTTACTTCTCATACCAGTTAGTTTAAAGTGAACTGAATGAACGTCGTATATCCTTTGGGTTTTCTGTCTAACGGCTAGTGAGACGGTCTTGTATGCGGATCACTTCACTTCATTTATTTCTCTAGCCATTGGTTTGCTCATCCTTTAATTCCGTTGAATCCACTCGCACCTCTGTTTTCCACTTACTCGCAGACGACTTCTTGAATAACTTCGTCTGAATCAGTGGGATAAGCCCGCGTATACCGGACAACTGAAGTATAATTGCATATCGTACGGGCATTTGTAGTTTTTTATTGTATCTCTCTGGTAGAGGAATTCGATAAAGTTTCGGACAATGCCCCATTTTAGGGATGGCTGCCATCGATACATATTTTGGATGTAGTATTGTTGCAGGATTTGCCATGATTATCTACATTGAGATGGATGTTTCACTTACCTGGATATTACTTTGTGATCACTCTTTAAGAGGCCAGAGATCAGTGGATATCAGTAGGTCCAATATGGTAACACACATGGTCAAGGAACGTTGTACGAAAGAATACTTGTGGCAAGTGGGATGGAGTGTCCTACTTTAGTGGGTATTTCGTTCACGTGAAAGAAATACTTCAGCTTAGTGTCACTTTCATGTATTTCACTGATGTGTCAAAGTTAACTCTTTCACTATCGTGGTAAACTTGTGAGCACTTTGCGAGTACTTGTTGATGTTCCTTTCCTTTAAACCTTGAGAAATGAAAATCCTTACATTTCGAAGCATTCAACGACACGCAGTGGGCTTTGAACCACGCTGTCCGGTTGTCCAGAGGGGCTTGTTATCTGGACGATGGCTATGTGGTTGGAGGATGAGCATCCATGATTACATCATCCTCACACTTAAGCATGGCCGTTTATACTAGCACACTTGCATTCGTGTTGGGTGGTGAAGATTTTCCACAAATGTTCTGGCAAACTGGGTTCTCTTTGTAAAACGACCAACGATCTACCTCAGCTTCTGCTGTTTGCCGGTGACCTGAAGATGTGGACCATGATTAACATTATCAGCGACTGCGACCGTGTGATCTACAGTAATCGGTCTTCCCGTTGACCTATTCACTTCGTTCTTCGTGAGCATTGAGAAAGGTTTTGACCGGCGGACCTACAGTCCGAACTTCCACGGATGATCAAACGGCTTCAAAATGTTGCTACTAGAATCGTTGCAAACTTATAGGGTTTACTTTACGACGACCATAATGCTAGACTGTCGTGTCGTCACGTACTGTTCGATCTCAGCAGTATTTATCGTACATTATATCTGGGTGACTGCTCCATCTGTGAACAGCTCCCGTACACTTGTACATGCTTGTGGTGCCGGATCTGAAGTGATTTGCCTATCTGTGCTTCAAGGGCGGGATGTCACTATTTGGAGCAGTCTACCAACACACGTATTGGAGACCAGCTGTGTGACAGTATAAAACATGACTGGATTTACATTTCACCATCATCCGATCCAGAGTAAGTTTACTCGCGAACATTTTAGCTTGAACACATGAGAATGAGATGTTCCGTAAGCTATTTGCACATTTTTGATCACATTTCGACAGAGTATTGTAGGGTTACTTTTTGCTTGCTCCCATAATACGGTGCTCAGTTTTGCTAATGTGATATTGCTGTCACACTCGAGCATTCTTTCACACACAAAACCATTGTCGAAAATTGACAATGTGTTCAAATCTTTTGAGACTGTTGGTTATGTCGCCAAACTGTACAACGGGGCGGCACCTGCGGAGAGTCTGAACACTGCTTTTGAATTTGCGACTGACACCTCGACGACGTCAATGTGAGTTTTAACAATTCGTGAAAGTTCATCTCCAACACCAACTGTCATACAACTCACTGAATAAGCAGAGCTATTAATTTACTCAAGCTTGTCACTTGCATCAGTGATTGTAGGTACAGGTATTGGCTTATCCGAAGTAGGACATTGCTCTTATGTCCATCAAACTGCGAACCATAGTTAGTTTCCTTTATTTCTACGAGGTTCAAAACATTTTCCCTACAAAGCGGTCATCTAAATACTCAAAGGCAATGCTTTTTTCGCTTGGGAGAAGCTGTGCGTCACTGCCACGTCCATCTTTCATCGCTGGGTGTAGCACATCCACCATGGTAATACTTAATGGATATTGTGTGCTAGGATCATGTTGGCCTAGTGTTGGTAAAAGCAGACGAAGAAAGCATCCCAGCATAGGCCATGACGTTACCGGGCGTGTGATGATACACTTCCCTCTGCATTACGACAAACTCACCCTGTAAGTCTGTCTAGCAAGCCCTTCCACAGAGCATTTTTTGTGTAATCAATTGAAAGCAGCTTGCATATCCGAGGATACCATGACTATTGTTTATCGGTGGGTGCAACGTTGCTTGGGAACGTTGCCAGAGCGAAGATAAAGTGAATGTGACCCGTTGAGACAAACCCTCACTGAGGGCTGTAAGCATTGTGATACAAGATGAACCCAGAAATATCTGCGGAATCCCGGAGTAGTTGGCGCACTCCTGATTGGAGTACTTGATGGGTGGTAGACAACTGTGCACTGACCAACCACACTGTGTGGTGGTTATGCGTTTTCCGTTACCTCAAGGCTTAGATTACCGTGCTCCATAGCTGTGATAGAAGTATCTTCTGGTATCGATCTGTGTATAAACATCCGTGATATCAGACTGGGGTGCTTCTCTGCGATAACACTATAGTCGAGATCCGTTGTGTCGTCATTAGCGCGAATTGGAATCGACCCTTCAAAATCGGACAGTTGAACGAACGGGCGATTCCTGTTATATCTGTGCTATCTTAATACCGCAGCTTTTCAGCGGGGAATCTTTCCCTTCCTTTAACCGCCCATCTCTTCTCTTCCGGGAGTGTTTTGAGCATTTGATTTAGAGAGTACCCACGCGCACACTTGGATATCGGACAAGGGAGCCCGGGTGATTTTATTCACTGGTCTGGTGTAATGCCAGTGGTTTTGACGCTTCATACATGCATTGCTCAATGCGTGCGAGCCAGAGACTTTAAGGAGGCATTCACCCTGTCATTAAGCAGTTAAATTCCAAACCTCATGAAATAGTTCATTCCTCGATGTTGTACATGGCTGTAAACGTCCTGCTTTTTGTTCCAGATCAGCGAAATCACACGTGCGAATATTGTGGAAAATCCTTTTCCTTAAGGAGCTACCTCCGGAGACACGTAGAAGCTGCTCACTTGAGTAAGTTCTACACCGTGCGTTTGTCATTCCTTCCAATAATGCACCGGGCATGTACGAACTTTCATTGTTAACACAGTGGAATAATTCGCTGGCTGGCAAGAGCGAAGTCATTGGTTTGAATCCGGTAGGATTCGATAGGTGGGCAATAGTGGTGAATCGCAACACGAAGAAACCTCCGTGTAGCACTTTCCTGAGTGTGTGGTGGCTGTCTGTCTGAGCCTTACTGCTACGAATCTTCACAAGATGGATCCAGTGTTGTTTGTACTTAACAAACACTTTCAGTTTAGTATTTATTCCGTGGGTTTGTTGCGGTTGTCGCGAGGGATATGGAACAATGGTGGTCATCCTTTTGCGGTGGCCAGTTTAGTTTCGGAGCCACAAGCGACCGATTTGTGGTATTCAGCTGTCTGTACTTTGGCGATGGCGGGAATAGGCTTTGTGTGATATAGTTATCTTTGTTTTCTGTCAGCTAATGAGGGTTTTTGATTCGTACGTTTTAACGCTGCTGAGCTTCTCGTGCTTCGCATATCTTGATGGCATATTATGTCAACCTGCACAGGGGGATTCCGAATGGTAGTTCATTGTATACAACAATACATTGCCAGATGCATTGCAAGGCGGTGACGGACCGAACTGCCTGTGTGCAGTTCTCTAATATTGTTTATGTAAATCTCTGACAGGCGCTTTTTTACCAAACGGTCCCGAAAACACCGGTCAGCCTAGTTGAAAGCATCTTTTAAATGGAGACACACGACTACACTGGATCTGAAAATTGACTTCAAATGAAGATGTGGTCAATGCAACCTCTATTTCCAATCAGCCCAACGTGCTCTTCAGGTTGCTGGTTTTCTCACTTACCAGCCACACTATTGAGAGCGACCGATTCATGTTACTTAGAGGTGGGGGAGACCAGACTGACTGCTCTAAGACTGCCGCCTTCCGGACTTGAGACCCTCGGAGGATCTGTACAGTAACGGAGTTGCTGCAGTCATGTGGGACAGTTTCACGATTGTGTCGTGTAATCCGTTCGGAGGAGAGGGTTTGCCGAATTTGAAGAGAGCTGGAGGATGATTATCTGGTCCAGCGACCTTATTCAATTTCGGCTGCTTGATCTAATCGTCTGCTTCTGAGCGAGATGGCGGATAAAAAGGATCACTCAGTGAGTTGGGGTATCATGACCGGTGGTAAAACTGATAATTCTCGTCATTTAAACTACTTTTCACAGTGGCTACATTTTGTCAGGTTGTGGATACGCTGTCCACACACAAATTTGCCTGCTGCCCATTTTCTGTACGAGGCTACTTATAGAGTCTGTTTCCATCTGCAACAAATGATGGGTCTACCAGTATTGAGTAATAAACGAACCACCTTGCACGAGTTTGGCGATTGCTCACGGTTATCATTTCGGAAAACTGCCCGGTGTTGGTCACCCGGATGCAGCTTATCCGTGGACATATTTTCAGCTTGAAGCTTTTTCTTATTAGCGGACACTACAGTATCCGGGAATGGTCGATGGCGAAAGAGTTTTTTAGTTGGATATAGGAGGCATCTTTTACAGAATTGATGCGACAGGTTTTGAGGACGTAGGCCGCAATTAGCTACAATCACTTTTTGACTTCGCGCGACTTTGAATGAGCCATGCAATCTGACGGCGTACATCCGGCTTGTGGCTGGTATCGAAACCTACTAGAGTGGCTTCTGGGACTTATAGCCGTGCACAGGGATTTGACAGACCTTCGAAGCTGTACAATCTGCGAACAAAAGCCTGAATAAGTACCACCAGAGCCACATAAAGGGGACAGTAGGGTGTGCAGCAGTCAGGTTCTGCAAGTGCGTATCCGATAAGCAAAAGTTTCCAGTCTCTATACCATTTCTCCGTTGATTACATTCTTAAGGCAGTGGCTTTCATCCGTTGCTCAGCGGGCTGTATCCTTAGCGCAAGGTCTATTATGCGATAGTCACGAAAATTGCATCAACCAGGGCCTCTGGGAGTCAGCTGTCCGTTCGCCTCAAACGGACATCTCGTTTACTCACTCAAGCAATCCGCTCGTCTAGTTGCTCAGCAGCATCGGACAATAAGGGGATGGAAGCAGGGGCTTGCTTACGTACTGGCTCCAAACCCCAAATCCTGTGATGGGAAGTTTGTCGAAGTCAGCCTAGTCCCCGATGAACACACAGAGGTAGCAGTGAACATGTCCTGGACACTGGATCTCGCCCCCTGGCCTGATCGAGCGCGTTGTGAGTGGAACCAAAGTGGTTTCACAAAGAGGCATTGTGTGAACAAATGAGATGTGCGTTTGATGCGATCGGACCGCACTTTTCGTGACCATCGAATTATATTTTTCGCTCTAAATATGCAAGCTGCTGCACCACGGATGTCAGTCATTGCGTTAATTGTGTAATGGAATGAGAAGTGATATAGTGGTTGCTCAATCACCCATGCCCATAACGTGTTTTGGCGCGCTGACTTATTAACGGAGAGACGACAACTGTTATTTTGACGTCTGTATGTGGATCACTTGGTGTTGAATTGGCGTCGTGCCAATGTTAAAGGGGTGTAAGTTAGATTGGAGCACAATTCCGAGAAACATGACTTTTTTTAAAAAGCCATAAACTGGGACTTATTAGCATACGATTTTATCTCCCCTTGCATAACTATCCAGGTGCATCACAGTTGGTCCTTGTTGAGCCTTTTGAGGTTCTCGGCATTTTGTAGTCATGTGCACTTGCACCTCATTTTAAATCCCGCTTTAGTTCGCCCCAGAACCTTGTTTGCTTGCCTACGTTGTTAGACGACCATCAGATACCTCCGAACCATCGCTTATCTTCCGCAACTGGTCTTACTAAGTGGTGGGATGGCAGTTTTCATCCTTTCACTCTGGTTAGCACTCGATTCGGGAGCACTTCACTTTTGTCATCACCTTTTCTTTACTTCTTTTACTATCGTTAATATAGCTTTATTTACTATTCTAGAGAAACAACCCCGCAAATGCGAGCATTGTGACAAATGCTTCTTTCATAGCTTTGCATTGAGAAGACACATTGGAGCTGTGCATTTAAGTGAGTATTTGTTTCTGTGTTAGATGTCTTCGTTATTCCAAGTGTGCTTACAGTTATTCTGTTGACCTTCATCAGCATGTTACCCTCTGATGCTCCATTTCATCTGCTGCGACTTGTAGTATATGAAGTAGTTCAGGGTCATTTTTGCGTCCACATTGGCTTTCGTTCCTCCTAGAGTTATCGACCTCAGATAACTAAACTGCTCACTGGGTGTGCTTCTCAGGGTGCTTTCCACTGAGGTTGCTACTTTACTTGATATCGATGTGTTTGGGACCCGATTATCAGCGTCGGCAAGCACATGTTTGTTAATACAGCCAACTCTAGCTGACAACGTTTTGAGTAATATCGATCTTCAACCATGACCGATGTGAAATTTCTTGCGCATTATTGGTTCCGCAGTCCGCTGTTTTTCATGGGATGAACACATTGGACAGCTTGCATGTCATTTCAGTAGAAATGCAGAGATCCATACAGGTCATTGTACTCGCTGTTTGGTGACTTCTCCAAGGCATTTGATATGGTGTACTGCGAAACACTGTGGCTGGTGTTCGGGTATTTTGTTACCCGATTATGTTTGTAATTTTAAGTGTGTGGCTACACTGTGGTATACGCGCGAGGGTGAAGCTCTGTGGACTGCTGTGGTTTCTGGTGTGATACAAGGCTGTGTCTTAGATCCTGATCTGTTTACTTTTGCCTGCGTTCAAAAATATTCTGTGCTTTTTATACTGCTTGTGGTCACCATGAAACAGCGTATTGATGGTGGGTTGTTTAACGCCCGTCGTTTCGAGTGGATAACACTAGTGTGTGAGACGACCATCTGTATGTTGCTGTCTGCAGACGACTGTGCGTTGTTTGCACACAGATCGGATGAGTTGCAGCACTTGACTTCGGCTGTCGCTTCGACGACGAGCGTTGTTTTGGATTCCGTGTAGCGATGGAAAATGTGTCGCGATGGACAATCAAGGACGTGGAAAAGGAGTATGACGTAAGCAACCTGAAGCCTAGCATCAGTCGGATCAGTTCGCCTCCCAACTTGGGGACCACATGGTGCAGAATTCTTGTAGTTGCAAAGCTTGGATGTGATGGCACGTAAGTGATATCTCTTGAACAATTTTCACAGTATATAAAACTCAAAACGGCGTGTGCGAAACCGGAAAAACTGCATTTTTTCTTGCTTTCTTATGTACGCTTATTGTCCTCTTTTTTGCCATGGTTCTGATGGCATGTTATTAGTATACAGACTTGTTTATATATGGTTGGCGGCATCCGGTTTCGGATTTGTCTGTCACTGTGGCAAGCCACAGGACGCCTGCGCCTACAGAGGGACCATGGATGGCTTGCGCTGCACCACCCACAGCTCCAACCACATACCCCATATCCAGTGTAAACCCGAAGGAATAAGACCGGGAGGCATGCGGATGGGAACCACGTTTCATCAACGGAGCCGGCCCACACTCCTTCACAGGCAAACACAAGCACGCTGTATTTGGGGAATCAAGCGCACACGAGGCGGTGGCTGGACCGTAGTCCGCTCCACACTGAGTGCATGGAACCGCTCTTTGAGCCTAGCATGGCCACAAGAACCGTGCACCCCGTCCCCTCCAGCAACGACCAACTGTCTCCTGGAGCCAGTATGAACGATGTAGTGGGTAATAGACAGGTAGGCACCTTGTCAACATACACATCAAGCGCAACCATACCAGGGATATCAAACAACATCCATTCACTTTAAACGACAAGCTGTAATAAAATAAATCCAATAATGCATACAAATACGGTGGCATAACTCTTCGCTAAATTACCATATGAAGTAAGTTGGTTAGCAACAAATCCGTGATAAGAAATGTCCACAAGTTACTTAAAATGCTACAAACGCAACAAAATTACCGAGGATAAGCGCAATTAGTGTAAGCAACGTGACCAGTTAATAGAACATTATTCAGGGAGGCAGAACAAACCAAATAAAGCGGAATGAAATTTATCCAGCTTAAAAGGACCTAGTTTAAGTGTAAGTTGGTTTAGCCCAACTGCGGTGAAGAAGCTTCAAGAATGCAACATCAGCCTCAGCCTCAGCATATATATATATATATATATATATATATATATATATATATATATATATATATATATATGAATGGAGGTGCAAGCAGCAGCATGCTTTTGCTTATGCACCTCACTGTATGCAGCAGATAAGGCGATTTTTTCTTACAGTCATTGCGCGACTGCCGATGCAGCATGACTATATTGCTATTGCTGTGGTTCATGTTTGTGAGTTGAACTGCCATACTGTCAGGGCGTCCACACCAAACAGGAAAACGACTTGGGTCTTCAGCCAAAACCTTCGGTAAAGTGTGCACCTGAAAGTTAGCGGGCCGAAAGCCATGGTTCATTGTATAGACTCACCTTGAATTGTGTGTCGTGGATCTTAGGAGAGGGGCGTAACCCAACTCGCATCCAGCTGTCCGCATGAGGAGAAGTGCAGGACATGAGCCCACTGCGCAAAGCATTAGCAGCAGCGAGTAGGCGATATGTCAGGATCTTGCCACCACAAGGTTGAGCTCACGATACATGGTTAGCAGCATCCGGTTTTGGATTTGTTTGTCACTGTGGTCAGCCACAGAATGCCTGAGCCAACTGGGGGACCATGGGTCGCTTGCACTGCACTACCCGCAGGTCCATCCACACACCCCATCTCCAGTTTAAACCCGAAGGAATAGAACCGAGAGGCATGCGGATTGGATCCAAGTTTCTTCAAAGGAGCCGGCCATCACTCCTTCGCAGGCAAACCCGAGCATGCTGTGCTTGGGAGTCAATCGTACACAAGGCGGTGTCTGCACCGTAATCCGCTTCATACTGTATTCTTGGAACTACTGTTCAACCTGGAAGGTGCACCTCTCCTGAGTAGACAGTCCCAATGTGCAAGTCTATCCACCGTATCGAACGTACCTTTGATATCGAGGAGCACGACAACGGTGGGCCGCAAATAAATGTGCAGTTGCTCCAACAACTGATGCGAGATGAAGATGTGGTCAATGCAGCCACAACCTCGACGAAACCCGGCTTGATCTTCACGCATATGGTTTTCACAAGTGCCAGTCAGTCTGTGAAGGATGACAGAGGCAAGCAATTTGGAGGCGATGGATTTCAGACTGATTCCTCCATGGCTGCCGCATTGCGATCGTGAGCCTCCCTTGAAAATTGGGACTATGACTTAGCGGCTCCAGTCGGTAAGGACAGTTTCCTGCTCCCACAGTTTAACTAGCAATTCGTGTAAATTATCCACAAGAGCAGGTCCCCGAATATGATGTGTGCTGGAGGAAGGTCATCAGGTCCCGCAGCCTTATTTAACTTTTACTGTCCGATCTCACGTTCGACTTCTGCCCGAGAGGGTGGATCCAGATGGACAGCCCATGGAGCATGGCAATCAGTGTCCAGCGAGAAATGTAACAATTCCGTCCGATTAAATTGCCTTTCCAAGTGCTCAGCCCAACACTCACAGTGTTTTGACAAGTTGTGGATAGGCTGTCTACTCTCCTCACAAATTGTTTCACTAACACCAGGTCTTCTGCTGCCCGATTCCCGTATCAGCGGGAATAGCTTACAATGATTACCAAGGGCAGCGGCCATTTCCACCTCTGATGCACGATGAGACCAGCAGGATTCGCGGTCTCTCTTCTGTCCAGCACGGAGTTTTACCCGGAGCTCTTTGCGAGTTTCATTGTGTTCGCTTCCAGCCGGGATATGTCGGCGAGCGTCGATGAGTTCCAGAGACCGCGAAGAGACCCAATGTCCATGTTGGCGATTAGACATACCACATGAGGATTTTCCTGCTGCTAGTAAGCTTTGGTGAATATGACACCAGTGAGCTTCAATTGCATCCAGTGAGCGTTAATCCAACTCGCATGACAGCGTACTTTGATAGGTATTCAGAACAGCTGGCTTCGCCACTTGGCTTGTCTCAATGCGCTCATCATGGGCGTCCGCCAAAACGCATCCACAAGTCAGCACATACAAGTGCATGATCGGTGTCTACACATGTGCTCCAAATCGAGCGACAGTTCTGGACGCAGCCTCTCCATCGGTAACTTATCGCAATGTGGTCGATTTGCGTCCAAGGCTGGTTCGAGGTTGGTGGGCGCCAAGTCACCCTCGGGCGGTTGCTGTGTCGGAAATTAGTGCTCGCAAGAACTAAGCTAGCATGCTCACACATATGAAGTAACCGCTCACCGTTCACATTACGGGAGCCTACACCATGTTGGCCGCCCAGATGCAGCGCATCTGTGGATATTTTTCCAACTTAAGCTTTCAGATCCCCAGCCAGCACTACAGTGTCCGAGCTTCTTCTGTGTCTAAGGAGCTCGAATAGTTGACGATAGAAGTCGTCTTTTACTGAGTCATCGCTAGAGTTCGTCAGTGCATAATCAGCGATGACGAAAATCCACCTGTTAGTCACACGCGACTTCGAAGCTTTTAACGAGCCAGCCAATCGGACCGCACACATCCGGCTACTGATTAGAATCTAATCAACCAGAGTAGCTTCAACCCGGGGACTCAGGGCAATACCAACACCGGCTTGGCCGGTGCTCGAAGCTGCATCGTCACCGGATAGGCACAATGAGAAAGTGCTGCCAGTGTCTCCTGACGTGGATCGCAGGGTGAGCACAGAGCTCGGGTCTTGCAGGCCGGTCTCCGATATGCTGCAGATATCGATCGAGACGGTCTCTAATGTTCGGGCAAGTGCTGCTTGTTGACTGATCTGAAGCAATGTGCGAACTGAGGCATGCCAATCTGAAGGAGGATCGAGGGCCTCAAATGGAAGCCGATGAACTGGACTGGATCGCTTGTGTGGACATGGGCCTGCTGACTGGGCAGGAATAAGGCTTCGCGTTCGCATGTGAGTTGAAACTAAAAGACAAGCGACTATTGAAGCAAAGTGGGGGAGGGTCGAGAATTGGGGGGTTGAAAACAGGTGGATCAAAATGAAGCAGGGACTGGACTGT